TGCGCAGAACGAAATGGACCGTCGAGAAAACGATGGTATTGGATCAACCGGGATACCCAATGGAACGTGTTGCTATGGACATCATTGGACCACTACCTAAAACCCCTGATGGTAATCGATATATATTGGTGGTCGTGGACTATTTCACGAAATGGCCGGAGGCGTACGCGATTCCAAATCAAGAAACACGTATCATTGCACAAAAATTGGTGGATGAGTGATTTGTAGATATGGAGTCATGCAGCGACTGCATACGGACCAGGGGAGAAATTTCGAAAGCGCGGTCTTCAAAGAGATAATCGATATTCTTGGGATAAAGAAAACCCGAACAACACCATACCACCCTCAAAGTGATGGCCTTGTTGAACGAATGAACCGGACTCTGAAAGATATTCTTTCAAAGTTGGTCAATGAACGTCAAGATGATTGGGACAGATGTTTACCTCAAGCATTGTTGGCGTACCGGTCCACCGTGCAAACCTCAACAGGGTTCTCTCCACATTTCTTGGTGTTTGGAAGAGAAACAAGAATCCCAGTTGACCTAATGACACCTGAGCCCCCTCAAGCAGAAGTACCACCGACTACATCAGAGTATGCGGAAAAATTGAGGAAACGTTTTGAAAGAACATACGAGTTGACCAGAGTAAATACAAAGAAATCTAGCGAGCGATATAAAGACTACTATGACGCAAAGGCGAAAGATACGACGTACAACGTTGGGGAGAAAGTATGGTTGTATGTACCATTTGTCAAAAAGGGAAAGAATTTGAAGCTATCACGGCCGTGGCGGGGACCATATACGATTGTGAAGAAAATTTCAGATGTGGTGTATCGAATCGAGAAAAATGCCAACAAAAGGAATAGGTTAGTAGTCCATTACAATCGTCTTAAACCGTGTTTTGAACGACCGTTGAAAAGTCTACCTAATCGACCACCAAACGAGACGAAACTGCAATCGAAAGAAACCACCGAAACGAGAAAAGAAAACGTGGAGAATTGTAGTGGTCAAACCCCGCAAACGGAACCCCCAACCAACGGAGGAAATGATGAGGATGAGTGGACAGTGAGGTATTTTAGAAGAAATTTGAGACAAAGTAGACCAAGTCGGGCAATTAACGGGGAGGAACACGGACAAAATTTACCTGATGAGGTCCAAGAAGACGTACAACATTTACCTGACGAATTACAACAGGATGGGCCATTGACGAGACATTGCGAGAACCAGTAGAAGGAAACGAGGGACAGTCACAAGCCCCACCGGAAAGGCCAGCGCGAACGAGAAAAAAACCAGCGTGGTTACGGGACTATGAATAGCTTTAGCTATACATATATGTCGGACTGTACTGCATTTTTGCAGCTTAGTTATCTATTAAATTGTACTGCATTTTTGCAGCTTTGTTATCTATTAAATTTAGAGGGGAATAGTGTAGAGAATATAGAGACTGACGTTAGCAAATATAGGTGGCGTGGACGAGCGTTGATCGATAGTTTTAAATCCGGACACTACAGGAAAGTTGTAAGACTGTTAATATTAATATATCTTAAGAAATAAATTATTACAATACTATAGACAGGGTTATCAGCTTTAAACTGTTCTCCCCAGAGATTCAATAAGACCCATCCATATTTATCCAGGTTAATACAGGAGGAATAGCAAGAGAAAACTTGCCGTGTTTAGTGTAATGAAACCGAAGTGAAATTACAATCCATGAAGGGATGGATCTACCAAGATCTGGTAAGAGGGGGGGTACTGTTTGTGAACAAAAAGTTTCATCATCAGAAATTAGCTTTAATAAATATGCTATACAATATATATATATATATATTGTATAGCATATTAATCAGCTAACCGATTATATTCTCACGAAGTATCATGAAATTATCACAGAACAATATATTGTATAAGTATATAAACTACTAGGTTTATAATCCTATATAATTATAGACGGAATGTCTGGCGGTTTTACAGATCAGTATATATAGAGAGCCACAATTTGGACGCATCAGTGATTAGCTGTTTATGTACTATTTAAAAAACGAGCAGGAGTGTTTTATTAGGTTTAAAGCTACGAACGCGTAGCGCGAGTGGCTTTAGGGAGCGGTCATTATTTATGGCGGGGGGTGGCACCGAAGAGAAAAGGGTTGGGTAAACAAAATTTTGAGTAAGTAAAAGGTTGGGTAAATGAAAAAGAAAACAACTCAAGGGTTGGGTAATAAAAACTTTTTGTCATTTCCAAAGCATGACTCACTGAAATATTGGAGACTAAAAAGCAATGTCAACAGTTATATGTCAATACAATATGTGAATTAATCAGAGTCATTATCTTGACCATTTTCCGATTTGTTGGCAGACAAATGTTGTCTCCAAAGAAAGTACATGTGCAGACAACATGAAACTTTAGACTGCAGAAAATTTCACAGAAGTGGTAAAGGACATGTGTCACAACTGAATGGTATCCTTTTGTAAAGTTTTGTAAAGCCAGGGG